AAATTTAATTGCTAGCAAAGGATATTGAGTATTTTTAGTAAATGTTAAGCGAGTAACATGTAAATGTAGAAAACTTTTGACTGGTAGTGTGTGTGGTGTGTGTGTGTGTGTGTGTGTGTGTGTGTGTGTGTGTGTGTGTGTGTGTAAAAATCAAATGTCCTTCAGCACTGTAACAAACATGGTCTGTATTCACTGTATCCACAAGAGAACTTCCTCCAGCATTTAGTGAAACTACATTACTTAGTATCTGAAATTCCCGGGCTGAATACTGAACAACCCGGGCGGCACGTGTGGAGCGTTTAGAAACGCAGTGGTCACCTTAAACTTGGTCATGGTGCTAAAATGGTTGTTCCTGAAGAAGACGCAGAGCTCGCTCTCCTGGACGCTGGACGTCAGCTCGCACAGGCCGTGGTACGTCAGCTGCGTGGCTGTGCTGTTCAAGAACTGCTCCGCCACAAAGCCTGCGGCGACAGCAATGGTCCCCACGGGGGGGGGGGCAGACAGGTGAGGCCGCCACGCCGGCTCCCACGGGCCAAAACACAGATGGACGTAAGAGGAAGCGGAGACTCGCAGGCAGGAGGGAAGAGAGGAAAATCAACACGACACGTCACGGGCCCACCCACCTTCTCCAGCAAGCTCGCTGTTTTCCGACTGTTTACAAGAGATAATCTTCTCCACCAGCTGATTATAGCTGCAGTTGGCCACTGCTTTCACAATGTCATCCATCTGCAGAAAGAAAGGAAAAAAAAAAGAGAGAGAGAGAGGGAGGGGAAGGGATGGGGAAAAGGGAGGAGCTTAGTCAGCTCTAACATTCCAGAGTCATTACAATATTTGACAGGCTAGCTCGTGTTTTCGGGAATGAAACAGCATCTGCTGTCAACAGTGACACTGTTACGGTCACTGTGATGCATTACGAGACGACGATGGCTAGAAAGGTAGAGGGCTGGGAAGGACAGGGCCTGTGGGGGGGGGGCACTAACCTGGGGGTCCACCAGCCAGCCATGATAGAGTGGGATGTCCAGCAGGTCGAAGACGATGCACTCGGGCGTGTATTCGAAGACACGCACCCCCGTGAACTTCACGTTGACGTCCAGGCCCGTCTGGAGCTTGTGCAGGACAGCCATGGCGTCGCTCATGTTCTGCGAAGGGGGGGGGGGGGCATAACCAATGAGCCAGAGAAACTTCAAAAAAAGGCCATTGTACAGCTGAGCCATGTCAGGGCTGGCAGGTCACACCCACACTCGCCGTTTCTGCGTTCGCAACCCCCTGGAAGGACACCGTGCCCCACAAACTGATACATCAGCATGTGATGGATGGGTCCAGCCTCCAGCCCTTTCGCGGCTCCACAAGCGCGTGGTTTTGGAAGGGCGTTCGGCGCCCCAGCCTGCGACTGACCGCATGGAGCTCTGCGCTTCCTCATTACAGCAATCAGTTGCCCCCGATTCATCTCCAGCTTTGCTTCCGACGTCGGGGACGGAAGTGAGGCGGCCTGGTCAAAGTGAGCCATGCCCCCCTGGTCTCCCCCTTCCACTTTGACGAGGGGCATTCATCTGGTGACTCAAAAGTAGGGCAGATTCTTCTCGACCATAGAAAAAACCCCAAGCCTGACACAGGGGAGTAAGCAGGGACCTGTCCGGTCCACCAGAGCTGGATGCTGCTCAGTGTCTTGTAGATATCCAGCTGCTGGCATGGGGCTAGATGCAGGTCCAGCACGTGCCCTCGCTGTCCGAGCGGGACACCACATTGCACGGCACGACCCAAAAGACTGCAAGGACTGCTGGGCAATAGAGAGGCCCTGCTGCTGTACACCAGAATCAGGCACTTCACCCAGACCACCCCAGTCAAACAGAAATACTAAAATGCACCACAAACAGGGATTTGTGCCACACTGACCGATTCAACCAGTGCCACGAAGAACCACCCAACAGGCACCAGCACAAAGCCCTCAAAATGGTATCAGGATCCGCATGAGCCTATCAGCTGAATAAACATTTAATTACTCATACTGCCTGTAGGTGTCATATTACTCACGGCCTCAGGTGCTCAGAGACCCGTATCTACATCCCAATTGGCTGCCTGAATATGCTGATAAGTCAGAAGCTCAAAGGCGTTCGGCCAGTATCCGCCTTCAGGATTACAGTGGCGATGTTCGAAACACCGAACTGGATTACAGTTCGCTCCCTATTTCCCAGATCAGACAGCAGAGACACGATGCCAAAGTTTGTAATGTGACTTGCCATGTCCCACCTCCCCCAGTGACCAATCACAAAACACTATCTGGAATCACCTCAGTGAGTCCTGCCCATCACAAAAAGGGGGCACAGCTGCATATGGGGGAAGTTTCGTCTGATTCATTCTGTGGCAAAGCCAAATCAGCGAATCGGTGAGAACAGGAGGTGTCCGCCAGGGCTCCGTGTTACGTGCCGAACGAGGACCATGTTCACTGGTGTACCATGGTCACATGGTTTGGCACATCATTCCTTGTGCTCACTGGAACAGATTTCACGTATAAAAACCACAACCATGTGCAGGAAATAATTTGCAAACAAAATGAAAGAAGTCTGACCTCTGAAACCAGCACATTTACGGCAAAAAAGGTGCCAAAATCTGAGGCCAGAGGAGAATGGGCAGGACATGTTAAAGCTAACAGGAGGGTAAAGTGCAAAACAGCGGCTCAGTACAACCGTGCCATGAAAAAAGGCTTCTCATCACACAACTCACCTACCCGTCTGGAGGTACTAGCCAGGTGAACTTAAACATTCAGGCTGGATATTGATGCTGGGTGATCAGGGCCCCTTCTCTCAGCTTGTATGGCTACCAGGCATTTTCACCTCACAATCACTTGTGGTTGACCAGGGCAGCTCCAGCACGGCAGAAAATTGCCAAACTTGTTGAAAAGATAGAGTCCTATGATGATGCCAAGTGGAAAGTCACTAACTTCTTTTGTACAACCAGCCATTCTGCTGCTAATATTCATTTCCACCAACGCGGTGCCGGGCTCTTTCCCAATCTGGAACTGGTTCTGTGCATTTCCACTGCAAAAAACTGGCCCTGAGCCAGACAAAAATGGCTCCAGCACAACACCATGGAAAAGCTTGTCTGAGAACCATAACGTTTCGGACTGGCTCTCACATTGAAAGAAAGAAATAATCGTACTAAGTGCCGCCTTAACACGAGTAATAAAGTATTTGTAGAAGCATCATACAAAGGATTCTTGTGGCTAATGCTAATTAGCTTAAATCTTCATCAACGGTCAAAAAACTGTCGAGAGAATTTGCCATGAATTATTAATGGTGCTTGATGTTATGAAAGTAAAGCATTCTCTTATGGTCCACCATGACAGTTAAATTTTTTCCCTTCACTTTTTCATAGTTAAGTTTGAATTGTTTGTATATTCTGTCTCATAATGGAAACAATATTCCAAAGAGAACAAGGCACAACATTGAAGAACAAAATGACAGTTCACCTCAGTACTCTCACTTCTGCCTACACATCGTTTCTGTTCCGTTCTTTTTTGAAACCAGTAGAACCACGGGTCAGTTCTCAAAAGGCACCAAGCGAGAACCTGCCCAGCACCAGCCCCAGCAGCTGGTGCCCTGTGAACATGGTCCTCGTTCGGCACGTAACACGGAGCCCTGGCGGACACCTCCTGTTCTCACCGATTCGCTGATTTGGCTTTGCCACAGAATGAATCAGACGAAACTTCCCCCATATGCAGCTGTGCCCCCTTTTTGTGATGGGCAGGACTCACTGAGGTGATTCCAGATATGTTGGTGGAAACTAGGTACGTGCGCTTAATTTTATACCCGTGTCAGCAATGGGCATGCCTTAATTAGGTAATTCCTCTAATTAATAGGGGTGTCCACATACTTTTGAACATAAAGTATATGTCAGACTGTAAAGTGAGCAGTGATTTTATGGGCAACTGAATCAGCACTGGAAAACGAATATGACTGCCACCACATAAATGACAATGTATAAGCAAACTCATAATCCTGGTGTCACACTCTGACATAGCGGGCGCCGAGCTGGGGAGGACGGTGCCATGCAGGGGGTGGCAGCTAACCTGTGCTGATCCACCCCCAAGCCATCTGGCCTCAGCCCCCGCCCTCAGCTCCAGGGCCACCGAATGGCCCCCAGCTGCTCAGCCTGCTCGGTCTCCTTGGCCTTGGAGGACGGTCACAAATGAGCCACACAGGGTTCCACAGACACATCAGCAGCATCTGTACTGTGAGTGTTTACACCCAGACCCCAGCGTGGAGCACAGGCTGTCCCAGGGGCCTACATGGGCTTTATAAATAGACAGCTAAGTACCATTCCTGCAACAGCAAAGCACCGATGTGGCCGATTACGGCGAGCTGGGAACAAAACAGCAACACATGGGCCCGTTTGCTGTCAGCCACAACAGCAGGACCCCATGCAAGAACACAGCGGGTCCTCCTAGCGGAAGATACAAGGATGCCGCCCTTCGGGCCTGGGTGCCTCAGCCGTGCAAGCAATGGTGGCGGCAGCCTATCAATGAGTCACAGCAAGGGGAATCAGAAACAGGAGATGGCTGCTGGGATCTGGCCTGAAACATGGATCAGTACAGTAGGCTGCCGGACCCAGGGGCACGTCACCTGGTAATGGGCCTTACACAGTATCAAACCACCCGGGGACAGTACCCAGCAAGACACTATAGCTTCATATATAATCAAATCCCCAAGTGCTGGACCTCATATTATATAAAACCCCTAATTACTGACCCTATAGGACACTGGGAAGTTCTGGGCCTTATACAGTTTAAAAAAAAAAAACACCAAAATCCATATATATTATACAGTATAAATGCCTAGACTTGAGTCTTTCCCATTAACACACACTGCCTTGCCCCCAGTGCCTGTGTTAAAAACAGGTGGCAGATTACAACTCTCTTTTATTGCTGATAACAGTGCATTAATTCCTTCAAAAGTGTCATAATATTGTGCGCCAATGCCAACAGAGCTCTCTCGTTTTTATTTAATTTTCATACACTATTACTGTTATGTAAAATCACTGTGGTAATAAAACCCACTATACAGTTCACCCCGCAGAGCAGACGATTACACAGATGGACAGACAGCTGCACACACGCTATGGGGGGGGGGCGGGGGTTTGTCATCCTGGGAATCCTGGAGGCGCGTCAAGGCCGGCCGTACCTGCTCATAGTTGAGCCGCTGGACCTCGGAGATCTCCTTTGGCTTGGCATCAAGGATGTAGTCACCTACAGGCAGAGGGAGAGAGAGAGGTAAGGAGCGTGAACTGATTACAGCGCGTTGCCGCACCCACCACACGACAAACCACCTCAGGGATGAGAACCTGAGTACAGCCATGTGACGGGTGACACCTCAGCACCACATGTGGACCAGTGGGAGGTTTCTTCCCTCTGGAGGAGCCAGAATCACTCTGGGCATTCACAGATCCCTAGCCCCAGAGACACCACTCCGACCCATCATCCAGAGGGAGGCAGACCATAAAGACGTCGTTGTGTATGGATGGAGGAAAAGGGCCATCGTGTTGGGGGGGTGGCGGAGGATTTTGACTTAGCATGCTGGCACAGGAACGTCATAAATGCCCCCTCACACGCATGCACGCACGCAGCATGATAATCGCTACTCTCACTGGAAGGGGAAAAAAAAAAAACCCAACCTTTTTCAAAGCCCTGGCGATACACAGCAGCAGCCCTTGTTTACTTATGCCTCGGAACAGGCACATGGCGGGAAAGCCCCCCCTCGCAGCCGCAATCTGACTGCACCTGTCAACCGGAAGATTAACATTCTGCTCAGCTGCTCCCAGGGAGCTTCGGCCGCGCTCGCCGCTCTGACTCGCAGCCCAGCGGAGGTGGCCCCGGCCGCGCTCGCCGCTCTGACTCGCAGCCCAGCGGAGGTGGCCCCGGCCGCGCTCGTCGCTCTGACTCGCAGCCCAGCGGAGGTGGCCCCGGCCGCGCTCGTCGCTCTGACTCGCAGCCCAGCGGAGGTGGCCCCGGCCGCG